TTCAAAGAGCCACTGCAGWGGGACCAAAGGGCAACATGTGGCCCCAGAGCCGCAGATTGCAGACCCCTGTACTAAGTACTTAGAGTATATACAGTATATGGTACCTATGGGGACTGGACTGCATTATGAGATGACTTGTTACCTAGTTTTTGCAGCTGAAAGCAGACGTTTTCTGCATATAATCTGTTTCCATTTAATCTTTTCCCATGGTTTTGTCGTTCTCACGAAATAACGATGAGCATTTTCTCAGGATAACAAGTAAATTTCTTGATGGTTTTCTCAAGATAATGAGTTATGGTTTTCATCTTGTGTATCATTTGGTAAACAGACGGCCCCGTCTCCTCAGCTGGTCACCAATAAATCACAAGAGGAAAGACAATACTCGTTATCTCGAGAAAACGCTCATTGTTATTTTGTAATATTCTCGTTATCGTGAGAAAACCATGGAAAAAAATTATATGCAGAAAACATCCACTCTCAGCCTCTAGTTACTAACCTGGTTTGTACTGTGTGAGAACTAGGCTGGATTGTGTATTTGCTACTAAAAGCAGATATGCAAATATTATTTTTGCTGCCTAAATAATATAACATACTAATGATTATATWATAAGTGAAGCAGTAGAAATATACTTTTTGTATAATTAATGTACAGTTGTAATTCTTCTAATGTACAGATCGACACAAAGAGCCTGATGGAACATGTCAGTAACTTATCTAATTTACAGACTTTGTCAACACATGAATCTTTTTCTCACTGAGTGCTCATTCAGTGATTTGGTGGCAGGAAAAAAAAACTGAATATTTAGGCAGACATGCCAGAAATAGTAATAGTTTGAAGATTTCTAATCTAATCAGGGCATGAACTTTGTTTCCTTGTCCTGCTTTTCAATTCAGCAACCTCAGTGTGAATAACGGGTTTTAGGAAATCAAACCTCTTCTAAACATATAATTAAGCTGTAGAGCAGAGTGAGTTTATCTACAGACTCTAAAAGAAGCAGATAGAAACCTAATAGAGATTTGGCGCTGTTAGTGTGGAGCAGAAGCAGCTCAGACTAATTTCTTTCTGAAGGTTTACCTTCCCCTTCTTTGATCACAGCATCTGTGTGTTTGGCCCCTAGGCTACTGTAAAACACTCCACAGGCCCGAGCACCGGTTTACTGCACAAAGCCAGAGGGCAAGATTTAGCTCTGGATTGGTGTCAGTGTGTGTGTTAGAGAGTGGGAGGCAGTGAACGTGCACATGTTTGTGTGTATATAATGCGTATTTTGGGCCTATCAAGAAAGGTGTAACACTCTGTGTCTACACAAATGTGTGTGTGTTACTTATCTGGGAGTTAGTTTAGAGAGACAAAGGCGTGTATGACCCCCGTGTTTGGCTCCGTTGTGAACTTGACCTCTTTCACTCTCCTCCCCACTTTAATAAACAGGTGTATTGCTCCCAAGACCTTGCCTTCTCATTTCCTTCTCATTTGTCTCACTCGTCCTCATATAGTGGTTCACTGCCACCCATCCTCTGCATCACCTTTTTTTTTTTTTACCCCCGACTTACAGTATGGTGCCGTAAATTTAGATCCTAACATCCTCTGGCTGATTTGCTTTCGTAGTTGTACAGAGGAGTAACCAGTAACCATGACTGGCAAGAATCCAGCAATGGATCTAAAGTACAACAAAAACAAAAGCAGGATGAATTGTTTTTACAGTAAAAATAAAAAAGTGAGAGCAAAAAGGAGTGCGTGTGAGCAGCAAGCGTTAGCAGCAAGAGGAGGAGAAAAAGAGAGGAGAGAAAGGGAGGCATTAGAGGAATCCCCCAGGTAAAGGAGATTGTTGTGTCTCATTGTGTTGAACTGCTCCACTATCTGATGCAGACTCAGCTCTGACACCTGTCACCACTCCTAATGAAACAGCTCCCACAATCCTCTGCTCCTGAACCTTTTGTTCACTCGCTGCCTCCTTTGTGTGATTCCCTCGCTTTTTTCTTCTTCTTCTTCTCTTTTATGGGTTTGTGCAGTTGCGTMTTTTGTACAATATTTGTAAGCTCTACGTGAGGGAAGCTTTGCTTGTGTGTTTCAGTTTACGTGTGTCTTATTATGCCCCTCAGAGATCCAGTGCTTCTCTATGTGCCTCCGATGCATCTCTAATAAAGAAGAATGAAGCGAACGTGAAGTGGTCTCAGCTTGTTTGTATGTGCCTCTGTGCACGTAGATGGCATCGGGCAGGTGCGCAATCGGAGCAGATGCTTGATTTTGGTAAACATTAACAACGACTGCTACCTCGAACTCTGAGAGCCGGTGAGGGGGTTGCTTTTGATTGTGTTAGCGTTTCTTCTCACATCCATTTCCCAGCATGATGAGAGAGATTCGCAAAGAAGCAATGAATGGAGACGCTGACAAAAGGAGACGCTTTCGGTTCCATGACATCRTTTTGAAGCGGAGTTCAAATAAAATGTGTTCCATTTGGTGGCGTGACATTTTTATCAATAGATCGGCAAGGGAGGCACCTCCATGTTTGCTTGCTTTTAACCCACCTTGATTTAATTCCATAAGATGCTTTAAAGCAGTGTTTCCCAAAGTTGGGGTCGGGACCCAAAGTGGGGTCCTGAAACATCGAGGTGGGGTCCTGAAAAGGTTTTCTAAATTAATTACATTTTTGCCTTAGTTGTTACAAAGGAGAGAGGTTAGTGTATTTAAAATGGATAGATGTAGTATAAAAATGTTACTATGCCCATGTTTAGTTGACCTGATACAAATGTTTATCATCCAAAATAGTTGGGGGCACAGGTCTGTGCTA